GGAGAAAGAAGAAGAAGGACGGGGAAAAAGGAAGCGGCCGAACACGGAGGGATGGAGCTGGAGAAGGGGTAAGCCATAATTACCCAAGTACACGCGTTTAGCCGGAATTTTAGCGACCCAAGGGAGTCTGAGAAAAGCACAACAGGGATACGTAATGGGAATGCAAAGAGTGGGACTAGTGTTTGTCCCGAAGCTCGATCCATGAAGACCGTACGTGAAGAGGGAGGGTGTAGGATGAGGGTTATCGGTGGCCCTCATCCAGACACAAAACTCCCTCTCAGTCCCCCCCCCCGAACCCGGGAGGTCAATCGGCCCATTCACCGAGACCTCACCAAGGTGAAGGGATAGGATGCTTCAGGTTTCCCGGCAGGAAGAGAGGGTAAACGCGGATCTGACCTGCCCGTGCAGGGTGTTGGGATACGAGTCGGGAGGGTAAAAGCAGACAGGGGGTGTAAGCCTGCCGACGTGCTTCCCGAAGACCACTCGTGAAGAGGCAACACGGGGGAAAAGATAGAAGGGGAACCCTGTCGACTCCAGCCGTATTTTTGCCTCTCAATCCCCGCTGTGGTCCCAGGACGACGGGAAAACTGGGATAGAAAACCAGTAACCCCCGCGTGGGGGGATCGCAGTGACAGACACAGGATCCGCGGAGAACAACGGACCGGGTGGGTTCCGGGAGGTAGCCCGGGGGTGGTGAGGGCCCGGAACCCGAGGACCGTCCGTGAACGGGGTAGGCAGAAGTAGTTGTCCAAGGACGGGACAACCTTATGCCTAAATTCCCCCTTCGTTCTCGAACTAGAGTAAGGTAGGAATCGGGGAGTCCGATCGCGGACATCGGCACGGGCCTGCGTACACCGAGCGCACACTCAAGCACCAGCCCGTGACGATGTTCTGTGGGCAAAGGACACCGATACCGGGTAGCATACGGGATAGCGGTCAAGGACGCGTGGTCACAAACTGGGCCGGTTGGATCTTCGGCAAGAAGCTCCCGGAACAGAGGTAAGAAAACCAGACGCCAGGAGCGCTCATTCGGGCCCGAGGGAAGGGGGGCGAAGGCCGTTCAGGTATTAAACCCTTCGGGGGCCTGGTCGTGCCACCTTGAATAGTATAAAGCGCGTAGGGGCCCGAATGCGATTCCGGACAGCGGGGCGTATACTAGCGAACCGAGTCCCGGAAGCATGAAGAGCATGTCTTTGCGGGACCACGACCCAACGAGCCCCGCGGTCATCGTAATCCGGAAGGCAGTTCTTTACGAACGAAGCGCCGGACGTAAGGTATGGCATTACCGAAAACAGGCCTCACGTGCCGGTAAACAACCGTGACCTCGGAATACATATGTCGACGGGTCAGGGGGGCGTTTGGCACACGCTGCAACGATCCGTGGTACGCCGGAGAGAGAGAGCGTCGACCATTAGGGAGGAGCGAGACCTGCGACCCAGAACGCGGACGCTGGTCCCTGATGAAACTGATATTTCCTCTTCGGAGAAATTTCGGCGAAGTCCGGTAGGCTACCGTTCGCGTCGCGTTCCTTGCAAACTCTAGGGTGGGGGGAGGGCGTGATCTACTCTACCTCGTTTCCTATTCTATTAAATTCACATACCCAGCTATAGATTTAGACTAGATTCATACTGGCGGTGGATTCATTTATGGTCCACTGCGGCTCCCAGGGGAGGTGATCGCCGAACCCGACCACGTCTCTCCTTGAGGTCGGCTAGAACGGCCTCCCCATGTATCTCTGTCGGAGTCCCGGGACTCCCTCCCTGTCCTTGAGGGGGGTGGTAGATTTGTGAGGGGTATTAGAGGAGGGGGGGCTCCTGAAATATTCGGGACATAGGCAGGTAGTACGATAGGGGGTTGAAACAGGCGACACAGCTCTCTCTCGATGATGGAACGTACGCAAGCACGATGATTCCACCCCTGGTACAGACTCGGTCTGTGGGTGAAGCAAAGAGTGAGCCGGTACTCACTTTGGGAGACGAAGGATCGGTTGCCCCGACGACCATATTCCATAGATACTCATTTAGGTAGGGAAGGGTCGATCCTAGTGACTCTCCGCCTCCCGGGCGAGTACTTCCTCGCCTTCATGTGGCTCGGGCCTAAAAAAGTTGGTCGGGTTAGAAAGCCGGGGGAAATAGTATCCCCGGGTAACGCCCACCGCAGTCCTATTGCAGGGCTGTGAGATAGCTACAGGCGTTTGAGCCACAGCTGCGGCCTTGGGGGGGAAATCGCACTTCCCCTCTCCTGGGAGACTGAGCATAAACTAAACTAAACTAAACTAGGGCCTCCTACCACTTGGTAAATTTAATTCAAATACCCAAATAAATGTTAAATTGAATGTTAATTTGACATCAATTTCAATAATTCCCGAGACCAAGTGATAGAAGGCCCTTCTGCACTGCTTTTTCCCCTAGCGGAAGCCGACTTTGCTCGTGAGGGTACTTCTGTATGTACATGTTCTATATATGTACTTTTGTAAATACATGTTTTGAACAAGACATGAGGTATTTTTATTTTGACTGTGAAATACACGAAACATATGTATTATGCAAAATATGCAAAATAAGAAATACATTTTAAAAACTCTCTAATAATTTCTACTTTACTCCTATTTTTCTGTATTATGTAAGCGGACACGTATTTCAATGACAAATGGCCGCCATCCCCACCACGCTACCAATTTGCCTCGCTTGCTACGGCCAGACTAGTGATGGGCACTATCGACTAAAAACTATCGACTAAGTCGATAGTAACCAACGACTACTTTTAGTCGACTAATTTTTTTAATCGTCGACTACTTTAGTCACTTGAAGCGACTAACTTCAGACGAATAATGTTAGTCGCTTGAAGCGACTACGTTCAGACGAATAATATTAGTCGCTTGAAGCTTTTACTTTCAGGCGAATAATATTAGTCGCTTGAAGCGATTACTTTTAGGCGACTAATATTAGTCGCTTGAAGCGATTACTTTCAAGCGACTAATATTAGTCGCTTGAAGCGACTACTTTAGTCGGTTAAATTTAGTCGCTTCAAGCGACTCGCTGGAACTATCGAGCTATTGATCGCTATTGACTGGATCTTGATTATTTTTTTCGCGATGCAAACGAATTGTAATTTTTCCATATATTTTTTTATGCATTACCTTATAAACTAATCGTTTAAATTTCTCCGAAAAAGTCAGATCGTTAATTTTAAAAAGTTTATTTAATTGTTTAGAGTGCACGAATACTTTCGTGCCTCTTTTATATTAATAAGAAATTTTAAGTATTACTAAGAAAGAAGACGAACCAACTAGAACGTATTATCTCAGAATTCGACTCTGTCACTTGATAATGTAAACATCTAAAACTCTGAACATTACAGGAAGCAGGGGTGGGCTAATATTACTAACGAAAATAAAAGATTCGTTCTTTAATTCTTTTACGAAGATTTATATATATTATGTTTTACTGTTTATTATACATGATATTAATACGTTTATTATTAATATTGATACATTAATATTATGTAATATTAATTGATATTAGTAATATTATTGTAAGAAAAAACGATAAAAATGCAAATAAATAAGTCGTAACTATTAATGTTGAATCGATAATTTTACAAAAAGGTTTCGATGCTCGCCAGCTGAGAAGAACGATTCTTCTGTCCGGAAAAGCCCCTTTCTTTTCGTCAACGTTTGCTTTTCAAGTGCTTGAAGTCCCTTATCGGCAACTGTGGTATCACTATCCAGATGTCCTACAATCCTTACATCAGAACAATGGGACATTATAGAAGACATAATACCGTTATTGAAACCAATAGAATATGTAACTGTAGAGTTGTGTGCTGAGAAATATTCTACAGCTTCAAAAATCATGCCATTAATAAGAGGAATTGAAAACGCCATCCAAAATATTACATCTGTGACAATGCCTGGCCTTGCACTAAAAAATAACCTGTTAAACAATATTGATATTAGATTTGAATACATAGAAACAAATAAAATTACATCAACAGCTACAATAATAGACCCTAGATTTAAAACAGCAATTTTTCAAAGCGAAGGAAATGCACAAAGAGCAATAGAAACTTTAACATCAGAACTTCAGAATTTACTAACCAACGTGCAAATTCATGAGAATAGACGTACAAACCCAGAAGAAGAAGAACCACTTAATCAGGATGCAGGATTTTGGAATTTTTCTGTTGATAAAGTTTCCCATCTAACTAGACAGTGCTCTACACCTTTAGAAACCGCAACAAACATAACAAGGCAATATTTAGATCTGCCTTACGAAAGTATTAAAAGTGATCCCATTGCATTTTAGAATACACATGGCCACACAATGCCTGAACTAAAAAAAATTAATGAAAAATATTTATGTACACCTGCAAGATCTGTTCCATCAGAACAGATATTTTCCAAAGTTGGACAAATTATGTCAGAAAGAAGAAATAGACTATCGACAAAAAATTTATTATATTCTTTTATTTTTAAATTCCTAATATAGCAATATTTATATCTGTCCTAGGAGAAGAAGAAATGACAACATTAACTATCAAATAAAATTTGGTATGTATAAAAAATTAAACAATCCCATAATTTTAAATACCTGCTATTGTGACAACACTTATTTGATTTTAAAGAATTTTTCCAAGAACTGTGCAAATTATTGCTTATAACCTAATTGATTTTCACAAAAAATGTAGAGCAGTTAATTTTTTAAGTGCCAATATCAAATAGCTTACGAAAAATCGAATATTAGTAATTGTTTAAAAAAACTTGTTTACCACTTATATTTTTTCTTAATAAATTTCCAAAAGGTAAATACACCAATGGTGTCATGAAAATTTGACGATATAATCTGTACATAACCACTAAAGCATAATTTCAGTCGACTAAAAACTATCGACTAAATAGTCGATAGTATGTTGCGACTAAATAGTCGTTAGTCGATAGTTTTATTTAGTCGATGGTGCCCATCACTAGCTGCGAAGCACGCATGAATTGAGTATGACGTCACCGTCAGTACTTGCGATCGGCCATTTTGTGAGTGTGTGCTTCGTCGGGATATTTGTGTTAAGAAGCTTTTCCAGTAAAACCGAATGATTTAGTTTACGGAGCGGACTCGTTTTACTTTTATTGCACGTGCTAAGGGCGCAGAGGATCCGTGGACGTTACGTAGACTTGTACGATGGAGGAGAAAGCGTCGTTGAAAGAGCTCGACCAGTGGATAGAACAATTAAATGACTGCCAACAACTAACAGAAAGCCAAGTGAAAACTCTGTGCGAGAAGGTATAGGATCCGTTTTGAATTATTTTTTTTTTACCAATTTCACTGTGCTCGCTTAATTGTCGATACTGTTCACTGTTTATCCGACTAATTCCGATTTGTAGTTTTACCAGCATTCGCTGATATTACACGATACCGCTAAGCATGGCTTGACATGTCATTGTGAATTTTACTGTGATACATTTGATTGTCTTGTAAATACAGAAAAAAGAACTATCGACGTTCTATGTTTCATGATTCTATAAAGTTTTTGATTCCGCTAATAATTTGTATTTCAATCGCGAACGGACGCTCAAACGACCGTGGTCACTGGTTTTCGGTCCTTTACTGCAACTTGTTCGTGCCTGTTAAACTGACTAGCTCATTGAATCAGCCAACGATTCTATTTTTGTTACTTTACGAGTAGGATTTCTTCCGGCATACAAAATACATGTCGGTTTTCACAATATATTCAACATTCACGTCACGTTTTTACACGAATTCGTAATTTTGCATGACATTGATCTTGTTTAATTTCTTATTTTTCTGACATGTTTGTATATACTGTACTTAAATATACATACATAACTATCAAGAGCAAATGGATAACTGTTTCACACAGTTACTGTAACTCTGCAAATAAATGTTTAAGTATGTGTAACATATATATTTTTTTCAATCAGATTCATAAATGTTGTTGAGTTGTAATTATAATTGATGTATTTCGATTATAATTATTACATAGAATGGTAATTTAAAGATATTAATGAAAATGTACAGGATCGATGTAACAAATGAAAAATAAAACAAATCACAATGTCACTTGGTGGCATCTGTACATTGTCATGTCATCAGAAATGCCACATGGTGTGATCTACTGTGGATGCATTAAAAGATTCTAAGTATAGTAATGTGTAAGAATTAGTTTTTTGCTGCAAATAAGGATTTATTTGTCATAACAAAAGGAACGCATTATGTTCACTGCCTATAGAAATAATGATTTTACATACTTACAAATACACATTGAACTTGACATTATTTCTAATTTAGATATAAAAGGACACAATGTTATCAGTTATAAATGTATAAATTTACTAATGTAATTAATGAATTCTTCTCAATGCTAAATTAAAATACTTTCTTGCTTTTTTTAAGAAAGTAAAGGGTATTTTAAAAATTTCTACTTCAACTTTTTACATAATGTTGCATATTAATGTTACTAAATCATTAAAATCACAATTATTAATGTATTTAGAATTATTTTGTCACTGTTTGTGACTGAAGTAATTTGTTAATATTTTTCAAGGTATGTAATTATTTGCGTAAACATTTATGTATTTATATATATATACCGTATGAATCATGATAGATGAATATTGAATTAAGCACTTGCTGCATTGGCAACTGCAAAATGTTATAACAAATTTTGTGCTTTTTAGGCAAAAGAAATCTTATCTAAAGAGTCTAATGTACAAGAAGTAAGATGTCCTGTAACAGTATGTGGAGATGTACACGGACAGTTCCATGATTTAATGGAATTGTTCAGAATAGGTGGCAAATCTCCAGATACAAATTACCTTTTTATGGGTGACTATGTAGATCGTGGTTATTATTCCGTTGAAACTGTTACCTTGCTGGTTGCACTTAAGGTAAGATTAATATTATTAAATATGTATATGTAATAGAAAAAGAATAATGTAACTACAAATTGTTAAAATTTCATAAACTTTTTCAAATCCTTCATGTGTGTATAGGTCAGATATAGAGAAAGAATAACAATTTTAAGAGGTAATCATGAGTCAAGACAAATCACACAGGTGTATGGGTTTTACGATGAATGTTTACGTAAATATGGTAACGCAAATGTGTGGAAATTCTTTACGGACCTGTTTGACTATTTACCATTGACTGCGTTGGTGGATGGTCAAATATTTTGTTTACACGGTGGTTTATCACCATCGATCGATACTTTAGATCATATACGTTCCCTAGATCGTATCCAGGAAGTTCCACACGAGGTTGGTGTTTCCAGCTCTTGGAAACAAAAAGATATAAGGGAAGGGCACATAATAATATTTGTCTATACTTTGTACAGGGTCCAATGTGTGATCTTTTATGGTCAGACCCAGATGATAGAGGAGGATGGGGTATTTCTCCTCGCGGGGCAGGATATACTTTTGGACAAGATATATCAGAAACTTTTAATCATTCTAATGGCCTGACATTAGTATCACGAGCGCATCAATTAGTTATGGAAGGCTACAACTGGTACATTTATTGAAATTACGCTTAATTTTGTTTTTTTCGCGACAGATAAGTTCCCGAAAAATTGGCGTAAGAAAAAACATGCATAAAAAAATTGCAGAGTGGTGGGTCTGCAGACAAATTGTTCCACATATGTTTCGTCTTTTATGCACATGAGAAGTTCGAACAGTCAAAGCCAAGTTTGATCATGGCGAGGCATTCAGACTGAAGGTTACGTTCAAACTTTTCAAACAATTTGATAATGTTTCAAAGTCGGACCGCCGTAAACTTTACAAATAGTTTGTTGATACGTTTGAAACTTGAAGCCGAGCAAGGGGGGTATCGATAAATAACTCACTGTGAAGCCCTTGATAGAGCACCTCAAGTCACGTAGTCGATGCTCGCTGCATGAGTGGCTTGTAATTCGAGCGTTTCATGACATTGTTTGAAAAGTTTAGAGCAACTCAAGTTTGAAGTACGAAACGTCATCATACTATTTGAAAAGTTTGAACTTAACCTTCAATTTGAACGTCTCGCTGTGAACAAACTCGGCTGGGACTGTTCAAACACCATGTCAGATGTTTAAACACGTTTAGACAGTTTGATTACCCACTGCTAACTGTGCACATGAAAATATGAAAGACTGTTTGTGAATAGAAAAATAAGTAGGAACATATTTTCTTACAATTGCAATTGAGGGAAGAGTTTTAAAAAGGCAAATTTATCGGATTATGTTAAATCAAAACAAATCGTGTAGAAAGAGAATTTAATTTTTTTTCGAGACTGTATTTAAGTCAAAATCATGTGAAAACGGAATTAAGTGTATTTATTAACCGCTTTATTTTGTGCAATACATATGCGTATCTATATCGTATCTACCGTATTTTATAGTATACATGTAATAGTTCATAATTAACCTTACAGGTGTCACGATCGTAACGTTGTAACTATATTCTCAGCCCCTAATTACTGCTACCGTTGTGGAAATCAAGCTGCAATCATGGAATTAGACGATACTTTAAAATATTCATTGTGAGTTTTACGCAAATTTATGTAAAAGCTTTAATATGGAGATAAGTTAAGACATGATTTATGATAATCCGCTTTTTTCAGCCTTCAATTTGACCCGGCTCCAAGACGCGGAGAGCCACACGTTACTAGGCGAACACCAGACTATTTCTTGTAAAGAATCAAACCCCAGAATTAAATATTAAGGTAGGGGTACGGAAATGATTCGGGCTTTATAGCAATGCCACTGAAAATAATTTATGGATAGAACATCAATAAGAGTGTGAGGTTTCAGCCATCCTTGCACGTCATATTATAGTCTCAAGTATTATATCATGACTCACTTTGTGGTGTCTCATTTAGAGACAGAATACATACATCCGCGTATTTTGCGTGTGTCCAACACCATACATCTAGACACAACATTAATTATATACATGAAAAGAAAAAAGCAAACAATAATTTACACACGTACCAATTAAAATTCACGTATAGCATTGAGTTCTATAACTTTCATTGTACTGCTTGTATTTTTATTATCGAAGAAAAAAGATATGAACATAATACATGGATTGAACGTAATAAGTAGTGCGAACGAAAATATATACATGGTATTGTTTTTTGAAACCTTGAACAAATATTAATTTATTGAAAAAACTGTTTATCCGAGCAAAATTATTTGTCACATGTACCGAATAGAAGTAATGTTGTTTAAGGTTTCAAGTGTACCAAAACGATTATAGTTTGTATTTAAGAGAGTGTCACATATATAATTACTATGAATGGAGCATGAAATGTTCCACTTCAAGGAAATATAAAGGAGGGTTGATGCAACAGTAAATTCGGCATGCATAAATTGTGCCATATAAACAATTTAATAAATTCTTTAGTGGATTCCTTTATTAATGTAATATATCATTACACATCATAATTCATCAGAATCATAATGCACTGCAACCCCTCACTGTTACGATTACAGTTGTTTTTATTAAGTGGATCGAAATATGATTCTTGCAAATTACACATTTTTATAATAGTTCTTTATAAATACTAATACGAGCTGGTCAGTTGTGTGTCTCTTGATTAGCATTTACTTTATTTTATTTATATTAGTTACTCTTATTTCATTTTTCAAACTTACTCAGATACAAGTTTTAAACTTTTATACAAGCTTACACGCACGACCATCATCTTGTTTTCTTTTTCCTAATAATTTAAGGGATTAATAACACACTTTTGCATCAATCCTGTCGAAACTTCCTAAGTGAAACAAACATTTTATACTGAATGAATTCATGCATTCACGATCATCAAATTGAAAGTTAACTGCTTATGAACCTACCAACAACCTTTTTACTAATTAATAGGTATAAAACGATGCTTCTGGTAAATAAACATGTGTAATGCAACTCAAAAAAATTTAATGTGTTGTGTCAAATCATTCATATTCGTCTATACGCGCAGGCGTTGTATACATAAGCATCAAATAAATTTGCGGAATACATATGTTCATAGAAATAAGCATGTAATAATGAAACGAATACAGTAGAAGTAATAAGGTGAAAAAAAATGGAATGTATAGATACACATTATAGCAATTTACTAAGACTGTAAATCTAAAGGAAATTGGCACAGAAACCATAATATTGTGGATACAGTCACCCCTTCTTTATAATGCAGGGCTGAGCATTTTTTTTGTTATATATCGCGTATTAAACACATTCACTGGAGTATTTAAAGTAAGAATAAAATTTCCTATATAGAATGAGAAACGATCGTAGTTGTTATAACAGAAGCAAACCAGTTAATTAGAGGTGAACCTTTCATAAATATCAGTAATAGACCTTAGAACTTGTATAGCTGATTTGGTATTCGCTCTATTTATTCTCTCTCTTCTTTAAACAATTCATATGATGAATAAAATTTAATACCACAGATAAACTTACTAGCTATTAGTTTCGATACAAGACTTTGTATGTTAATTATTTTTCAGTTATGATAAAGTTTTATTTAAAATAATGTGACACTGACTTTGAATCGGGGACACTTTATTCGATTGTAAGAACCATACATTATACATTTTTCCGTTCTAATCCGATTTCGGCAATGCACGCCAGACTTTGGATTGTATGTACTATATGCAGGTTTTTACAAAATATTCGTACTTTTGAATTAAAATGAACTAAAGGAGACATGCTTTTATTGGAAGCTAATGGATTGATTACCAATGCACATGCATAAACTCAATTTAGAACATGAAATCTCAAAACACGTTTGTTGTGTATGTAAATTTGAGATTAAACAATCGGTTTCTACCTGTATATAATTATTGTGTATAAGATGCGTATTACATTTTGTATATATCAATTTCGGATAACATCTTTTATGATATTTTTTACAATACTTTGTGGTAGACAAAAAATGCTTCGAACAATTGTGGATTATGTGTGTGTTTGGTTGTTAACTTTTACATGCTTCCTCGTTTTTAGATTTCGGATATCGTGGAAACATTAAATTACAAATATTGAACGGACTTGCAAGGTCTGTGTTCATACAGATACTGCTGAAGCAAGGAAAACAATATGCCATGAACTGATATTATATCGTCTCATTATAAACAAAGCTAGAGAAATAAAGAGATGTTATCATATTTAGAAAGTTTTACATCATTTTTACATTGAATTTCAGTAACGCAAAGCATGGGCAGAATTAATCAGTAATCGTAGGACTAACACAAAAGAATAATTACTTATGTGCATGCAAAAAAGTTTTAAATGAGTTATAAGAATAGCTGATTTTTTACGAATAGAATTGTATTTATGAATTATACAATACTAAAAATGTAAAAGCATATACCAAAAAAAAACATTCATTAACAAACAGTATCTACTTTATGTGCACCTAATAAAAACCTATATCTTGCAAAAACTTTATGTTCTGAATATATCAGAGAATAAACGATTTTAAATGAAGTATTTCATTGAAATTAAAAAAATTTATTCTAAATAAATAGTTCTATCGGTATTTTTTTTATGAATGCAGAACTTATTTCAAGATGGGTCTTCAGGCAATTCAGTTACTTTGATTTTGATAATTATCACAATCCTATATATAACAATTTTTATACCGTGTCTCACATACATATCTGCTATATGACCACATGCAATTGTTGTCTTGTTTATGTCATTCGTTTATGCATCAGCGACTATTTTTATTATCTTTTGAACTTTTTTGAAACTTTTATGAAACAATGTTTATTTGCCCGTATAAAGAGATATTTTTGCACAATATATAATTTTTTCAGAATTTTTAAGTAATTATTTTACTAGGAATCCTCAAAATATCAACACTGTTCAACACGTAAAATATCTCATAACCGTTAATAGGTGGTTTTGATAGACAAATCATTTTTTCCCAATACGTCCAGTTTTTGAATAAATCAATTTTTTTTTAAAGTGCATATTTTCAACTTTGGATGTCTGTTGGCTCTTACAATAATAGTTATACAGTTGCTTTTGACATGAAATAATTCTTTGAACTCTCCGGAACAAAATGATGTCAATTTTATATTATAGAGATTTAAATACGTATAAATAATCATCAAAATGAAGAAGATACCGAAAACTCATCAATTTTTGCTGATATTCTAAATTTGTTTCCAAAACTAAGGGTCTAGGATAAAATCTAACCATAGCATGCGGTAGAACAGACCATTTTAGTAAGGAAGGTGTGAAGGAAAGTTACAAAATCTGCTTAATTTTCAATAGAGAAGCGAAATACATAGTTCAGCAAAACACTTAATTACGGCGGTTGCCTTGTCTGCCACTCTAGTATAACGTGTAACGAAAGCGCTAAACCGCGCACAAGCAAAGCGACTGCCGTCATTTAGTACCATCGCCGTCATTACCACGTGTTTTGCTGAACTATTTCGCCTCTCTATTGAAAACAAAACAGATTTTGTAACTTTCCTTGATACCGTCTTTAGGAGAAAGATTTTTGAAACAACTTGAAGAATATCAGCAAAAATTGATGCGTTTTCGGTGTCCTTTTCACTTTGACCATTATTTAAACATATTTAGATGTATATGATATAATAACGATTTACGTCATTTTGCTCGGGAGAACCCAGAGAATTATTTCGTGTTGAAAGTAACTGAATAACTATTACTGTAAAAACACAACACACCACCAAAATTGGAAATTTGCAATTTTTTAAGAATTGATTTTTTCAAAAACTGGACGTGATGAGAAATAACGGTTTGCCAATTCGTATTCAGTTAATGAAGATCTACTAGAAACGCCTATTAACCGTTATGAGGTAGGAAAAAAAATACAATTTGTTGAACAGTGTAACACGATGGTCATAAAAAAGGACATCCCTCCTCTTTTTATGATCCTCAAAATAATTTATTCATCTCAGTATTCTTAATTAATAAGAAATCGTTTGAAAAATATTTTATTTACAGATTTCTCCCCTATATACACCTACATTTGCACCATCTCTACTACAATTATTATTAACACACATTCCTATCGAACACCCGCGCCAGAAATATATTCTTTCTTACATATTAAATTAATAATTATTAATAAAAATATACAATTATATTACAAGTATCACATTTCTGCCTTTAGTGGTTAAATAACGACAACATTGTTGTATATGCAATACATTTTCTAAAACATATCTTCGTTTAAACATATGTAAATTATGACTGAACTCAGTACCTTTCTGTTTAAATATCATTTTGACTGTACTACTGAAATATCTGGTAACGAATTAGTGATACAAGAAATGATTGGTTCATCATAATTGAGATTGTACGTCTTAGCGACTATTATTATTGAATGTTAGAAAATTGATTAAATATTGAATTTTTTATGTATCGTAAAATAAACTCACAACAATATTCGTCACGTATGGATAATCATTTTAAAAAAATAATTACATATTTCTATTATAATTTGTGTATCAAAAATAGTTGTACGAATGTAAAGGAAATTACAGTTTTACTCCGGTGTCTAAGTTGAGAATTTGTTTCATGACTTCATATGTTGTAAAACTAACTGACACCATAGGAACAGCGCGCAAATAATTGATGCTCATCCCACGATAAAGACCTTTTACAATACCGTTTTCTAGGTATATCATTCTTATAGTATGTAACATACTAACACTAAAAAAGAATCACAATGCTGTCAGTTTACATAAATAATTAGTTACTAGATATATTTACCTATACTTATATGTAGTAGGATTCATCATAGCCAATTGCATACGTCTCCTAGTTACATCTAAAGGATAAGAAAAAGTTTGAGCAACTGCACCCGCTATACCTCCGCACAATAACCTTGCTGGTATAGTTAAACTTAATCCACCTGTAATAAAGTCAAGATTTTAATCATATTTTAAATCAAGAATATTTTACCAAAAAATCGAATAGTATGTTATTACGATAGAAATTTTATGTATACCATACCCGTATTTTTATCACACTTTTTAGAAAGATGGTTTGGAGCATATTTCATGCATAAGTATTTAAGTCGTTCGAATGAATAAAAGGAAAACCCAGCATATGGTATCATGCCTAAAATAGTTGGCAAAAATCCCTTGTACAATGCTCGAATACCACCTTCCTGCAATATTCAACAACAAATTTAAAAAAAAAAGACTGCTTTACATTTCGATGTTTACAAATTATTCGAAATACGTTTTTTTTTTTTTTTGAAAAGAATATATGTATGCTAATGAGAACCGAGAATACATTAACCTTACTGATACAATCTGAACTTATCTAACACTTTTTATTTTTAATAAGAAACGTTCAAACTCTAAAATGTTTGCATTTCGTATGTTATCAACACTTTGAGTGCAACGTCACTCATACAGATATGGATATAGCGAGATATACATACATAGATATCCTCCAGAAAGGGCACTTAAGTTTCTTTAATTCATACGTTACATTATAAATACATACGTTAAAATATAAACGTACCGAATAAAAACCGTAAAACTTTATTTCTGCAGTACGCTGAATATATTAAATGTAGCAATAAGTGGTCCACCATATTGTAACAAAATCATCACTTATTTTTGAGAAAATCAGAAGCACGTGTTAGTTCAGTGATATTTTACCTCATTCTACAGTGTTTGCCATCGTTTTGAGAGGAGAAAAGGGTAGAAGGACGTTTTAAATTTAAACTGTATTATCAATTTATGAAAAAAAAAAAATAATATATTTAAAACAAAATTATTAAAAACTACTTTAATGAATGATAATTTACAACCTTGAATGTTAATGTGTGTTTTTCTGTTTTCCTGTATATCCTGAAAATTATAATAGATAATTCTGCACACGTGTTCTCCAGTGACTTGAAAAGCAAGCCTAGCCCTAATGGTATGTATTTAATGAGTGTGTTGTATATAATACCAGCAACAATTCCAGCGAAAAATTTATCTATTTATATGCATGTGCCCTGAAAACCAGTTGTATTTAAGTTTGAAGCAAATTTTTATCGAAAAAACCATAACCATCTGTTTCTGCATTTGACTTGAGTTTTGCAGGCAAAGTCTGCTAACAAAATGGTAAAGCGAATTGGCAACAAATCTTGCAACACTTAGGTCAATTTATAACCTAGGCTATATTGCAAGACTTGTTGCTAATCTGCAGCCAATCTCCGTTCAAATTGTTGATAGCAAATGTTGCATCAAACTCGTAGCCATGTTGAGTACGTAACATTAGAACAGGCATTAGACAAAATTTGGCTTTGGAGGTTCGGCTGACTGGGTGTTTCTCAAGTAAACTTCCTAAATACTGATAAAAAATAAATGTAACTTAATTTGTTTATAGTTACTATGCATTTATCTTATGTTCTATAAAAGTTAGAAAAAGTTTTGAAAAGTGTATTTTAAAGTTGAAGATTCAAGGAATCCAGTAATATTTTTTCCTGATTGATCCATATGTGGGAACAGTGTCAAATCGGCATTTCAATGTTTAACATTAATTATAACTATATTTATTACCAATAACCACAATGTTGTGCATATACTTGAAAACAACATTCCTTCAGCTTTATAATGAGCGTTAAATCAGAGCCCTATGTTGAAAAAAAAACCAAAATATTACGGTTGAAGCGATGTCGTGTCGGCAATTTCCCGTGCGTTTTGACGTTCGTATACGACGAACGCGTGCGACATCGGACTACCGAATCGGTAGTACCGATACGCGTACGCGTGCAGTATAACCGCTCCCATTGATTTAGAGGCGTTTGATTCGGTCGTGTGTACGGCACGAGCGCTCGAGCGCGCTAACCCATACCTAGTTTAGTTTAGAACGTGATCACTCGGGAGAGAAAAATGTCGCTATTTTTCTCCAAGGCCCAGCCTTGAATTTTTCTCTATCGAGAGTCTATCCTAACCCATACCTAACAGAGACCCATCACTAGCTCTATACGGACGACGGACTAGTCGTCCGAATACGCGTTCAGTGCAACCGTGACGTTAACCTTCAAGACAGTGCTGTCCACTTTGGCTCTCGGGAGGGGCCACTCACACACCTGCTTGCCCTTCTTATGTGTCTCCTACCGTGTGCTCCAAAGAAACAAAGAAGCTCACTCTTGTCTCTGTTACTCCATGGTAACGGCAGACGGTGGTGGGGGATGGCTATTGGCTCAGAGCCAAGTTGGATAGCACTGCTTTAGGGGTTGTTTCACCCTGAAGAACCGAAATTCAGCAAAAACGGAAAGTTGCTTTCATTGAAGACCGCTACAAGCCTGTGGAGTTTAAAATAATCGGAATTTTCGGTGTACCGAAGTCTCCTTGTTAATGATAATAACGCACTGTCGATCTTTGGGCCCCGCAGTAATCATGCTCAAAATTGTGCTTGGCACTCAAAGTGTTAATATTGTTCATGACAATAATGTTAATGTATATATTAAGTATCGCTTAACTTTCTGATTAACATTTATTACAATGAAGATCAATGAGAATTACCTCTTTAACAATTGTAATACCCGCATGCAAAATTCCTGTGTACACGTGTTCCCCAGTGACTTGAAAAGCAAGCCTGGCTCTAATGGTATCTAGTGGATATGTTAATGTGACTGCTGTAACACCAGCAGCAGACCCAGCGAAAAATTTATGTATATGCGTGTATTTTCCAAATAAGCCTCCTAAATACTGATAAGAAATAAATGTAATTAATTTGCTTATTGTTTTATGCGTTTATCAGCTTTTTTTGTACCTTACATTAAATGTGTGCAAAAGTAATGACCATTGCTTATGCATTGGTGTTGAATTTCTATTTACTTTTATTGATGGGAGAATTCATCTTTTGTTGCAAACGTGACAAAAAATTATAGGAAATGAAAGGAACTATTTCAAGTAATGGATGCTGACATAATTATTCAATATTAATAAATATTTTTGACGGTACAAGTGTCAGAACTTTTGCACAGACCACATATCTTAACACTTAGCCAACCAACTAAGGGTACCTCCCAATCGGGAATATGAATTCTTATATGCTTTACAAATACATTTTTGTATTTGCATATTCATGCACACATAAAGTCACAAATGTATATGCTTAGGGCACAACACTATATGCTTAGGGCTCACCTTTAACTTATGAACATGTCATTTTTATATTAATAACACTTACTTTTCTCTGGTGAACCACTTTACTCAAAACAAACTATTTAATATACTATTTGATATACTATTAATATACTATTTAATTACTTTGAACTATTTGAATATACTAGTAAAAGAGTAATTGCTAATTACCTTTTTATACAATTCAAATGTGGTAAATTGTGTTGCAGCATATGGAAAGATTCTAATCATTTGAGCAGAGTTTCCCTTGTAGAGTGCCAAAAATTGCTCACGGTGGATGACCTCTCTCAGTCCAGAAATAACACCTAAAACAATAAATTAGTACAAGAATTTATATTGTGTACAATTTTCGATCTGTTTATTCAATAGTATAGTTCTTACCCAAATGTTTATAGTGTTCATTGTGAGCTTGTAATAATATTTTTATCCTATCTAATGGAGCTACTGTTGTTTTTGAACACATACCAGCTACTCCTGTAAAATACATACCTTAATTGTTACCTTTAATTATTGTTAATATACGCAAATATTCCTTAAAGAAAACCTGGGGAATCTCACTCGTGAGGATTGACAGTAAATAGTTAATGTAATATACTGAAATAAATGAAAGAGCTTTTAACATAAAAAAAAAATATTAATTCACCGCCAGCGACTAGGCTTTTTAACGTAAATCCATAATTGTTTTCAGATTTGACACGAATTGCCGCTTTCGAATCGTTGACAGACATCATGTATGTTAAAATCGAAGTAGCCGTACGAAGCACCTGTCACGGAAGAACGATGAACACAGACTGTCGCACTTCGCACCAATCGCACCGTGTAGCCAAGACCCTTGGTAACGAGGTCATCGACTTTGACTTAGGTTTCTATTCGTGTCAGTCTGGCAGATATTCAGGTTATGTTCACCATAAACATCAACTTTCACGCGAGATTATATACGAGATATTGGTTAAGAATCGGTAATCTTATCCAAATGAAAACTCAACATATTGCACCAATAAATAATATTTATTCCGTACATTTCATTTTAATAATATTGAAACTATTTATTTATATACAGACATATAATTAAATACATTACATGTATCTAAATATATACGTGATATGTTTGGTAAAAAGAAATTAAAGTGCAAAAAACTCGATTTTGATTTTTTTATAGGCAAAAATATCCTAATAATCAGTTGTGTACGAATGTAGTTTCGAGCAATTGCCAGCAAATAATGACAAAAATTGTCTAAAAAAACCATAGCCATCTATTTCCGCATTTGCAGGCAACGCCAGCTGAGAAAATGGAAAATCACATTGGCAGCAGGTCTTGTAACCCAGACCTGTGTCAAATTGGGGGCAAAAATGGAACAGAGTCTGCGCGTGCTAATTTGCTGCCAATGTGCGCTCAAGTTGTTGATAGCAAATCTTGCATCGAACTTCTAGCAATCACTTTATAACAAGCATTGGACAAAATTTGGCTCGACTGACTGGGATTTTTCGGATTTCATGCATTTATTAAATGTATATAATACACTAAATGGTAAAATTGTATAGAAGTTTGAATCTTCTTTTTATTTTATAATGATACTCTCAATGTACTTCTATTTATCTTATTTGATTGTAAAATAGTTTTTACAGAATTATTTATTAAATTGATAACAAAATAAAAACTTCATTTTTTTGTTTTATTATTTTTGCATATTTATATACAATATAAATGCACAAAGTAGTCTATTTAATGTTAAGTATGATATAAATTTCATGTATATTATTAATATATGTATATATACATAGTAGTCTCCGTTTAACCTCTTGCCGTACGAATTACTTTGATACCGCATGGGCCATAGTGAGGGACAAAGTCATGTTTGGCCCGAATTCCGTTCCATGAGTCTCACTATCATTATACGATAAATGGTTAATAAATGCATTTTTTCCCGCTTAATTGACGCGGAGTTATCCCCATTAGTTCCTAAAATTGCTTCCAGGGAACGAGCGTCTACGTTATCAGTGTTACACATCGTAAAACAACTATTCGAGCCTTTCTCTTCATTTCATTCACACACAATGTTTCTTCGGCCTAAGGTCTGATCCAAGATTTTCGTGAAGGGCAAGGAAGATCCACAATTTTTGTGATGGTGAGCAGGGCGCAGTTCAGGACAATAAACAGAGGCACTTTTCCCTTGAGAGGGGGAGGGTTCTCTGAATCCGGCACTGCTCCCGCCCGTCTCCTACACGCTCCAGAAGTGGGCTAACTAAAGAGAGATAACGGCCGGCAATTTCTAAAACAATTACCTCTCTCAATAACTGTTGCAACGCGGACCTAAACCTGCGTCAATTAGACAGGTAGTACTATATGCTTTTGTGAAGTTCTAATCATAATAACCAAATATATAATATTTATCTAGCAACAAATTTGCTGGATAACTTTGTTCAGTTTTGTATACGATTTTCAATCAACAAAGTATTTATTTTTATTTATATAATGCTCTACAAAAAGTAATTTAACTCAAATAAAATTCTTTAAGATATTCAGCTTTAGGCTTAAGAATTGCTTTATCCTGAAGACTCACAACCCAACCAGGTGCAAGACCATAAAACAATTGTCTAGGATCCTTGCGCTGGGTAAGCATTTCATACTGTGAATCGTCTTCAACCTTTGGTAATACATAACCATATTTTTGAGATAAAATTAATCGTTCTTGAGAAATCTCCTCGGGATTTGCTAAGTATCCTCTTGTTGCTGAACTAGAATAGTACTCTAAACAATCTGTTGGTGGTAGCAGTCTACGAGGTATAGGTTCTCCTATGTAATTAATAATATTATAAGTAAAACAGTGTAAAGTATTGTTTAACATTTGTCTGAAAATTAAGTAAAGGACATACCTCTGTTAAAAAACTTATTTGTATTTTGCATTGCGAGTAAACAATGGGGATCATAATATGCTGTAGTTATAGTACCACCACTTCTTTCAATTGCAGCAATTACAGGTTCACTGGCCCATTGAACTTCTATGTTTATTTTAGCTTGAAATTCGTCAGCTCCCTCAAAAAAGATTTTGGGCAGATCATCAGAATTGCTATTCATATATTAACTTAAATATAGTTTCTGAATGAGATAAAGGAAAATCAAGTACCTCATCTGTAAGGTGAACACCTGCATGTTTATGTTCTACTATAATCTTATATAATCCTGTGTTGATCAAAGATACAAGATCTATAGGCTTGGATGAATCTATTCTGTTTGTATCAATGTATAACTGTAGATCGCGTAACGATAAAGGTGGATATTGTCTTCTCAAACTATAATACATAACGAAACATTTGAGTATTAATATGCTGCAGTGAACATTCTGTTCAAGTTGAAAGAGATTAATGCATTCTCTACGAATTACATAATTTATTTTTATTTGTTATACCTATTTTGGACATGTAAATAACAAATCACCATTATATACAACAATTAACAATTGATTACATGACTTCAACTTACTGGTGCCCTTGATAATATGGTTCACGACCAAATCTCAGATAAAACGGAGTATTTCCAGTCTCATATCCAAGACGCATAAAATTTTGCCTCTGCTTAGAGCCTTTGTTACCTGCTCCATGTTTATCTCCACCGTGTTGCCCTCGACCGCGTTTTGGCTGCAAGAAATACGTGATACTATGTACATGATATTAATATATGATAAAGTTAAAATAACACTTGCAGGTTTCCTTGAACCGGGATTGTCTCGAAGGTTAGATAAAGTAAGTCTTGGTAATGTTCGCATCATTGACAGTGCCAGGTCTTTTCCATATTTTCCAGCCATTATTTCCGAAATACAGTCACTTCGTTTGAAACTTCGTATACTTTTTTACGATAATAACTTCTTGATTTGTTCATTAACCGTTATGCCATTCCCATCTGTCCGCATCTCAGGAAATATAACCTTCATGACGAAACCACGGATTACTATGGCTGCGTTCAGAAGACACAACCGTTGCGCACCCGTTGAGTGATTTTACTAGAGTTGACTCTGAACGCTACACCCTATTGGGTGAACGGTAGCCAATCTAGTGAAATCACTCAACGGTTGCGCAACGGCACAGCCGACTCTAGTACTAGCCGTGCTGAACAACGTGGCAACACCGGTCATAGCGGATTCGGGAGTCCTATTTTCACCTATTTTCAAGAATAGAGTTTTGTGTTCAGTGTTATAATTAACGTTATTTTTTACATAAAATCATACTAATATATAGTATTTTTGATTAATTATGCATAAGGAATACATAAATATTATAACTATAGTAAGTAGAAGTAATATAGATGTATACTAATATTTATAAATGTGGTTATATTTTGTGGACACTCTGAATAGTTTGGTGTTGTGATGCATTATATTTGAAATATTTACAGTGGTTTCAAGAAAATATAAGTGTGAAGCATGAGAAAACCATCTTTGAACCAAATTGAAGCATTTAAAAATTAATAAAGGTATGTGTAAGTATAAGTTAATAAAAACCTGAAATAGACAAAATTATTTGTACGATACCAAACAGGTGAAGGGACATGTGGAAAAGAGGTTAGGATAATTCGCTATTGAAAGAAAGAATTATGCAGTTAATTATGAACTCGTGTTAGAGAACAGTTTATTATTTACAGTTTTCACATAATCATTTAATAAAATATTCGAAAAAATTGACAATTTTAACAAAATACTGTGGTAACTTTGACCACAAATGCGTGTATCTGAAAATGCTAAATAATGTACATCTAATTGCATACCAATATATGTTAATTTACATAAAATATGTTTATGAATTTTAGATTGCAAAAATTGAGATTCCAAATTGCCGTCATATATTATGGCTTCTATTATTGCATACATATGAATAAATAAGGTTATCACTTCTTCAGTGGAAACAGAAAGGCCTCCTCTTTGTAAGTGATCAACATATACATCGCCTACAGTTTTACCTTTATCCTATCACAATTAATAATCGACATATATTGCAATTTAATTTTTTAGCAACAGAATGGGACCCATAACCAGAAATGTAAATTTTAATGGAATCATCTACAACACAATTGGACAAGCAATTGTATGCAGCTGACGATTGGCAATATAACGAAAAAGCCATAATAATGGTGCAAGAGCTGTATCTATTTTTTTTATTTTTTATTTGCCTTATTTCATCTCTTACTACTTCAAGATTTTGGGTATAAGCACATTCAATTGATTCTGCAATAATATATGCCTTATTAAGTGCTTCTAGAGATTTCTCAAGGTATTTTTCAATAAGACATATATCAGTGGTAGAATGTGGACTCTGTAATACTTTATATCTACTTAATAAATTTTCAAGTTGAGACCACCTAGATAATTTCTTATCAATAGGCAGTACCCACTTTCAATCATTGAATCAAAATTCATTGCTTTCTTGAAAAACTTGTAATTTTATGTTGTCACTAATCACAATCTGTGTATTTAGAGTCAAAAAGTCAGAATTATCATTACATACAAGCATGCAAAAATAAATTTTTGTAAAAATATATGTAAAAATTTCCAAAAAGGTGATAGTTTCTATTAAATAAATGTGCTACACACAAACAATGGATATGTAGAGTTAATATAAATATAAATAAATAAAACTTACCTGGATTATTGCACTGGTTATCACATTTGGGGGATTATAATAATCTAAACATATGAATTAGTAAATTCTTAGACTAAATTTTGATTCCTTTCAATGATTTTTTGATCATGTTCTACAGGATCTTTTCTTGGTGGTAGCACATGTTTTACAAGGTAAGAAGGGAAATTGGGGAAAATGGATGATACTGCATTCGCTATAAGTCTTGGACATCTCAACAAAACATTCTCCAGTACACCATTGGGTGATAGAATACCTTGGTACCTTTGAATAACACTTTCTGCAAAATGCAGACTGCAAACGACAGAATATTTTATTGGTGTCCAATTTTTACGAGGAATAGTAGCCATCTATTTTTGCCGCAATTCCTCATCTTTGGGGAAGAAAAACATAGATATATAATTACTATCTTTTAAAATACTATCATAATTTCCCTTAGAATTGGGAACACAGCAACGCCGTGGCATTATTAACCCTTTCGCTACGGCAATGCGCTCCGTCGGACTCGGCGACTCCCCCCAAGTGTCTTCTACCTCTGTCCGTCCGTGTGCGCTCTGCTTCGGGTGTCTCGGCAAAAGTCCTACGTCACACGTTTACGACGCGACGGTCGAGTGGCCCGAGCCAGGTAAAAAATCCCAAACAACCTAAAGTTTACGTCCTAAACGCCGAGAGCTGTATGAATTTTCTAACGCCCTCATCACGAGGACTCCTTCCAAAACCCCGTTCGAATCCCGATGCGACGATTTTACTTTTTATTTTTAATTATTGTATAATTTCATTTTGTAATATCTCAGAAAAATAAAAACTTCGAAGATATTGATTTAAGAAGCATTTTAAAAAAATAGGAGATGTATTTTTTCCTGCTTAATATTTAAATTTTATATTACACAAATACATATTCTCTTATATATATACAAATTATTCTTACAATTAGATGTTACCTTTATTCTAACCATTGCAGTACATACATATGAAAACATTGGAAGAAAAATCCACTACATTAATATGTTACGTACAGTAAAATGAAAGCTTGGAAGATATTAATTTGAGAAGCATTTTCAAAATTAGATTTTTTTGTTAAGTTGGTCCACGCATATGCATTTTTTTAGATTTGATGTCGGTGAGCATGTATAATATGCATGGAAATACAACACATCGTCTTTTCTTTTTGTCCTCTAAATAATATCATAAGTGTTCCGTCCTCAATATGGACTTTCTTTATTCACCGTATATTAATTTTTTTGGGCAGCTAAAATGCTTCTTTCAAAATCTGGGAAATTCCTAACAACCCCTTTTGAAATAATCAGACAATAATGTATTCGGCGCGCGTATAATTGCACCTAATTCAAAGTCCCTTTACGTTAATATGGTTTCTAGGAATTGAATACCGTCCTACTTTCCGGTAATAAAGACATTTCCCAATTACGTGTTACAATGAGCCACCGTATAGTCTCGTTATTGCCTCCATTTACGATAGGGTTGCCCGCGTTTCGAGCGTTTTGGTCAGATACGTCTCACCCTAAGTATATACGCGCTTCATGGTCATATTCGGTTGAATCAGTATTTCGCTTTGAATAAGTGATTCGATTTTACAAGCACGTTTGAATTATCCCGCCAAAATGGCCGCCGTCACGCGCATCTCCTTATAAGCAGTGACACCATTGATTAGACGAATTTGGTATAGAAGTCAATATGGCGTTAAACTAACCTGTAAAATACGCTAAAAATGCTTGGTTTTACATACGCATAACTTTTGAAGCGCTGGATTCCTAAACTTAAAACTTGCATTTTTAGATTCTACTCGTTGAGTACTACCAGAAGATATAAAAAGAAGTCGATAATTTTTGGTCCGGGGAAATAAAGTTCAGCCAAATTTTCGAATGTGAAGATTAATGAATTAATCATCAGTTTTTTTAATTATCCTTAACTGAAGTTGTCATTATTTGTGTGAGATAGCTCCTGAAAATATAACGGCCCACGAATCAGTAGGTAATATTTACTGATTGCATTTGTTACGTTACATCATACAAAAAAGTAGGGAATTATCATATTTTCGTCTGCAAAGCTGTTAGCCTTGCGACACCAATGGTTGAAGTGGATAAAATCCACCTCGTATAAACGCGCTTGCGTATCAGGAGCGAAACGTCACACATAAAAGAATCGAATAACATCGCTTAGTGTTATGACATTATAATATGTAATATTTGTCATACGAGAATGTACACGCATCACGGTACAAGTTTTTAATTTAATACAACTGGTGTTCAGTTTCTGAGGAGTGACAACGTTGTGTAGTCGTTAAGCTAGCGTAAATAACTACTCGTTAACAAACGTGGATACATATGACATGTGACACATCATTTTCAAATGTCTTCCCCTAAGCCTACCGAATATTCAGCCAATTATCAACGCTTTAACGATGATGCAGATCTATCACTTGAGCAGGACACTTCTCAACGATCATGTCAAAGTAAGCTACATTTATGAGGCCATTGTTGGCCATTGTTAAATAAATTCATTCTTTCGTTAATTAATAGTTTATGCTCGAAAAATTAGATCTTGGTGAACATTTAACTACATAAATGTAGTCATTTTTTCTAAGATTTGTTTTGTTTATATTTATAAAGATTTACTAATTGTTCTTCTAGGTTTTTTTTATAATGAGTGCATTACCTTTTGTCCTTGTTACAAATGCTTATAATAATTATATAATTACTGATATAACATCAAGCATTTTTTAGAGATAGCACAAAAGTATTGAGCGACTTCAAGTATTATGTACATTTTTATGTATCTTTTATTGTAGTTATTTTATTTTTTTACTTTTATTTTAGAATATGGATCAATGTTATCATGTTCTTTCTCAGGGAACAACATAAATTCACCAGTTAGCAATAGTGAAAACAATCAGTTTCATCAAAAGATTGAGACTGATGAAGTAGAAAGAGAAACCATGACTGATAATGCTGTGCTTCCCTTGCATGATTCCTTTTCAGATCATGATTTATATTGGGAAATGAATTATCATAAAGCTGCAATATTTTTAGAGGTATCTATATTTATTCTATTTCATTCTAATAACAGGGCTTATCACATACTCTTAATATTTATATTACGAGAATTATTAAAATGTAACTATTTTCATAGGAAGGTAGGAACAACGAAAAGTTTGAGTCTCATCCAAAGCATCCAAAAGATTTACCAGCATATCTATTAGTTCATAATAATTGGTACTATGGATTAGATTTATTGACTTCACTTTTACTTTTGGTTTTGGCTGTGGTAGAAGAGCCAGCTGTACCATTATTTAGAGTAAGCTGTCCACTTAAACAATAGTTTCCTCTTATTATATTATCTCTGCAGTTTATACATTTTGTTTTAGATACCAGTATGGGCACACGGATCAATAGAACTTTTTGCTTTGATGATTATAGGCATTGAATTAACTTTAAAATTAAGATGGATTGGTTGGGCAACTATGTTGAAGCATAAAAGAACAATGCTGAAGGTAAAAATATATTTTTGTTCCTTTTTCTTTTTTTATAAAGTTATTCGAATTTCCTAACAGCAAGGAAATAGAAAGATTTCATTATATGGTTAGATTGCAATTCATTTCAGCTTCTTTGTCACTGCATGTAGAAGTAATGTGTAATAGTATGGTTCTTTTCCATTGAACTGATACAAAAACAATGAGGGTACTAATGAGAAGATAAGCCAACAACTACAAGCTGTTTCATTTGACATTTTTAATAAAACAAGTCTGTGATAAATATAGAGTTGCTTATTGTTTCTTACTATATTGTATACAAGGTGTCTTATTTAACATGACCCAAAAATATTTTGTTCTTTTAATATTACAGAAAAATATGAACAGAAAAAGTTCTCTATAATTAAAAAGAATGGAAAGATTTTGGTTAATTACCTTAAGTAGGATAACCTGTATGTAAAAAATTATATTTAATATAATGTTGAGTACATATTATTCATACGAACATCTTTATTAGAGTATTAGGCCACTGTTGACAGACCATAATTCTATATGGTGCACTTATACATATTCATCTTTCTTATGCAATGGTATAATAGTATTTGATTCCGATAATACATTTATGCAAGATTTAATAGACTCAGAACTTGCATACATAATGACATAATATCAACTCATCAAATTGCAATTTAGTTCAACGAAATTACACTAAATTTTTGTTACAGTGTATTACATTGGCCATCATGTTTTTAGAGGCAATGACGGTTTTAGTAAGGCAATCGTCACATTTTCGCGTGACACGCGCTTTAAGGCCTATCTTTTTAGTAGACACAAAATGTTTCGGAAATGTACGAAGATTTATAAGACAAATATTGCAGACACTCCCTCCAATTTTGGATATGTTGGGCCTGCTTTTATTTTTTATTACACTTTACACAGTATTGGGTTATTACATGTTCTCTGACATGAATCGATATTTTTCCACATTGCAAGATAGTTTTGTAAGTCTTTTTGTCCTTCTCACCACTGCTAAGTAAGTACTATCACGTATATGTATTAGGTGTATGCAAAAGTAATTGTCGTTTCTCTATTGAAAATCTTTATTAATATTATAATTTATAACAATTGTATAATGATGATGTTTCATTTTTTATAACATTTCTGATTTTTCTGACAAAAGTCAACATCTCTGTCGACAAAATGAAACGAGACCACACCCCCAAATTCAACTGCAACAGTCGTTACTTTTGCGTATACCTAATATTATAGCATCATTGCATATTCATAAAAAATATATTCCTTGTCCAGTAATGATGTGACTTCTTTAGTTTTCCAGATGTAATGATGCCTTCGTATTCAAAAAATAAGTGGTATGCAATATATTTTGTTTCTTACTTATCCACAATGTTATATGTGATGATGAATTTGATGTTAGCAGTCGTGAATGAAACATTTACAGCCGCTGAACGTGATAAGTTTAAAAAGTTGTTTTTGCATAAAAGGAAAGCATGTCAACATGCTTTCAATTTACTAGTTTCAAAACAGAATCCAGATAAAATGCGATTCCGTCAGTTTGAGGGATTAATGCGATATTATGCTCCAAATAAAAGTATGCATGAACAGAAATGTATTCTAAAGAAATCAAATAAATAAAATTTATCTTCATATGTGTATATTATGTGTAACAAAATTGTTTGTAGGTATCAAAGATATTGTTTTAATGTTTCGACATCTGAATGCATCCGGGTCTGGAGTGTTAAGTTCTGAAGAATTTTTAAATATTTATGACACAACAATACTTCAGTGGGAACCACAATATTCCAGTGTACCTTGGTATCATAGCACATCTCAGCCTATGCAAATTCTTTGCACTGGAGCTCATGCTGCTATAAGATGGTCCTACTTTGAATCTGTGATGTGTAAGTTTGTGAAACAAAATCATGTATAGTTACTTTATCCTTTATTACAAACACTAAAGAGTATGAATAACTTTCAGATGTAATGATTGTTGCGAATGGTATTACTATGATAATAAGAATATTGCAGCCAAGTGATATTCTACATAGTGCGCGTCTATTTGCAGCATCTTGGGATACTTTCCTTTTTGGGGGAAGTACGTAAAAAGTAGTTATATAGGTCGCTGATTCAGTCTATTAGTAATATTTTTGTCATTCCGAACAATAGAAAAATGAAACTACTGGATTTTATAGTTTCAAGGACTATGCAATTTACCACTCTATAGAATAAAAAGAATGAAATTGCCATTGTCATATCTTTTTTGTACAGAAATCGTCTTTGAAACTTTAACCAGACATTCTGGATGGAGTTAGTGATCCATTCTGTATGAATCTTATTATTTAACTAAGATTACAGTAACTTGAATAATGTTTTTGATTACAGTATTTGTGACTGAAGCACTGATTAAAGTATTAGGCCTTGGGACAAGATGGTATCTTAGCTCTGGATGGAATCTTTTTGATTTAGGCACATCTGTAATGACACTCGTTGCTGCTTGTATTTTACGTATCTTTCCATCGGCAACATTCTTTGTTTTATTTAGACCACTTAGAGTTTTACGATTATTTAAAATGAAGAAAAGATATCGAGACGTTTTTGGCACACTTGTTATTTTAACTCCTTTAATGTCTTCCACTGCAGTGGTCATGCTTGTTTTATACTATTTCTTTGCGATCATTGGAATGGAATTGTTCGCTGGATACAATATGCGAAACTGCTGCAAGTATGTAGAAATAATAGATAGCTACAAACAATCTGATTTTATATTGTATGTTACATGACTGCCATATTTTGACAGAAATACAACCGTTGAAGATTTTTACAAGTATTCCGCCAACGAAAGTACTGCATTAGGATATTACTATTTAAATACTTTTGATAATCTCATAGCCAGTGGTATGACGCTCTTTGAACTAACAGTTGTTAATAACTGGTTTATATTGATGAATGCATATGCGTTTACTGTTGGCATGTATACAAGACTATATTTTATGGTATTTTATCTGGTAACAATGATTGTGTTAACGATTGTAGTGTCCAGTTTTTTGGAAGCATTCCGATTTAGAATACACTATAAAAAATCAACATCTAAACGTGACGGTAATTACATTTTCATTGTTCATAAGATTTTAATGCGAATAAAGCTCTTATTAATTTGATGTACGCATCTTATCACAGAAGAGAAAATGCTCCATGAAGAAGTAGAACTGAGGTGGGACGATTTACAATGTATAATAGAAGATTTTCAGATTCTAGAAAAGCTAAGGCCTTCGCTCATAGTCGGTGTAAGTTTATACAAAAAAATTAGTCTGTGTAAATAGACATTTTCTGTTACTTTGTGATTCTGTAAATTTATTGTAGGGAATCACTGTTTTTATTGGATCGCGTCCTCGAACGCGAGAAGTTTTGCAGAAAAAAATGTATACGAGTGAACTTAACGAATGGATCGCAGAAGCAAAAGAGACTGAAAGACTTTATTTATCAAATCCTGTATATAACGCAGATGAGAACTTTGGGGAGGATGGAATATCTGATTCAGATCACCTTAGATCCAGTGGAAACTCGCGAGCGACGTATCGTAGTACATCTAATGTTCTGTAGTCTTTAAACATAATAAGTCCTATCATTATCCCATAATTTTCATGTTACATATCTTGGTAATGTGTTAATTTAAATATTGGAATATAAAAGTTTAACTTGTAGCTAGTGTACTTAACCGAAATCCAGAAGACAAGTGTAATGAAATAGCCCACAGTATTTATTTGTATCGGTATAACAATAAAATTTACATAAATACGAAAATAGTACAAATATTTTTCAGAAATTACAAGTTTGGAAAACATAAAAAAAACTTATTTACTGTTGCTTATGAATTTGTACACCAGCACCTCCTAAAGTTGTTAATATAACGGTAAATCCATCTGCAATTAACTTTCGTGAAATACTTGCAATCGTTTCTGGCTGGGTGTCTGGTAATAATAAAATATATGCATATCCACCGCCGCCAGCACCCGTGAGTTTCGCTGCTAAAGCATAATTCTGTGCTTCTGCACAAATTCTATCTAAAGATGGATGAGATACTTGACATGTGGCTAGCAATCCTTGATTCATGTTAATAAGCGTCTGGAATAATATGATATCCGTTAAGAAGATCTGAATAAATTTGCAGGCACTAAGAACAATAACCACTTTCTGCAATAGGTAGTAAATATTATAAATTCCAATAACATACTTACCATTAATTGTCTGTATCCTTCGACAAGAGTTTCATTATTAGTACCTGAGGCATTGTTAATTTTTTGTATAACTTTAATTGCTTCTTTTGCTATGTTATCAATTGAATCTATAATTAAATCAATAATAGCAGGATATTTGTGTTTCAGTGCTGCCATTTTTTCTACTAATGCTTTTGTACTTCTGCTTACTCTTGTGTCTACTAATAAAATTCTCATAATTTGCGTGGTGGCTATTGTTTTTATATAATCGCCCTTTTTAAATTCTATCATTGATCCGTATGTACAGACAGAATTATCTATTCCAGATGGAGTGCCATGCATAATTCTTTCACAGTTTAGAGCATATTTTGAAATAATATCTAAATCAGAAATGTCAAATGGCTTACAATTGTTCTTTTGTAAACGTGACCAATGCAAAAAGCAGGCAGCAATACAAACTGCGAACGAAGCAGAACTACCTAATCCAGAACTAATTGACAATTCAGTGTTTAACTGAATTTGAAACGGTTTTATATTCATTTCATCCTTTTGTGTAATATAAATAAGAAGGTAAAACAATACTTCTAAGCTTAATTTTTGCTGTAAATTAAAATAACCAATGGTACTAACAAATTCTTTTATTTGGTTGTAAAATATTTCATAATTTTCTGCAGATGTTGAATCTTTGTTAGTTAAAAGAAAACTTTGCACTTGTTGTAGCGGTATAGTTATGAATAAATTTACTTTAGGAAAACATATTTTAATTACTTGTTCTGCTTCTAGCAACTCAGAGAAATCTATAACTGTACGTAATCCTAAACTAGCTGCAAGAGCAGTTTTTCCATATACTACAGCGTGTTCTCCATAAAGAATGACTTTTCCTGGTGCAGATACTTTGAACTGAATCATTTTTGGTTGTTTCAGGTTTTCTTGCCTAACGACTAAGGGGAAAAAATTTATTTGGAAATTAATTTAGTAGAATGTTAACATAACTTTTGCATAAAAATGTATAATTTTATACCTTTTGTAATATAATATAATCAGTTAGTAAGAAACACTATTTTAAAATCTGTAAGACAGAATGGATTAACTCTGCTGCTTTTCCCACTGTTCTAGAGTTAACGTTTTTTGAGAAAATGCATGAATTATTTTAAGTTCCTTTTCCAGCACTGCATTTACCAACCTGAATTGTCGATAATAAATATGTACACAATGTGTTGAATATAAAATGCTAGTTTACCAATTGAAGCATATAAAAATGTAATACCTATGACGTTGGAGTAATGATTTGTCCTGAAAAGCTTCTGAAACCACTACTACAGAAAACTTAGCTCCACAACCATCAGACTGATCTTCCACTTCCTGTAACATTTAAAACAAAATAAAAATAAATCGATGTCCAGCTAATTCTATTTTACAAAATATAGTATCAGTTACATTATTTAGTCTGCAAGAAAACTTATATTTCGTTATTGCATAATGTTAACGTTTGTGCTTTTGTCACACAAGGTGTTTTCAAGACAGAATCTATTTTGCTACTGACATACATTGAACATGTATGAGTAATGTTGCTGTTATGCTAATATAGTAAAGTAATATTCAGTAACAGAGCAAAGTTCAGATCCACATAGAAGATTATATAATTTACACAAAGGTGGAAGACTCTAGTATTTGTCAGTGATGATAGCAATGTACATTATCGATTTTATTTATATCAGTGATCTATGAAGAAATCTAACATAATAAAACGATTACACCATTACTAATAAGTATCTTTATGATGGTCCCTTTGAATTAAAAAATATGATACCAATTTAAATAAATGAATTTATTTCAAATTTATATATTTTTTTATACACACAATTGTTTATAATTAAAATATAAATAGAACACAATGAAATGTCCACAAGAATATACAGAAATTAATAATGGAAACAGATCTGGATATTTATTTGGAGGTTTTACAAAACCACTAGCAACAGACAATATTATTACCCCTATAATTGAGTTATAGAATAGGATAATTAACAAAGGATTATAATTTAATAAGCTATTACAGTTATTTTTCCAGTAATACTCTATACCTTTTTCTATTTTTGTAAAAAGTGATTTATTCTTATTGGGTTTTATTACTTTTGTTTGAATTTCTCTTTGTGCATTTCGTTGTGAAGTTTTATCAACAAATAATTTGTTCTGAGTCAATATGTCAGGATATATCCAAAGAGTAGAAAAAATGTAAAATATTAATGTAACCCAATATGTTAAATATAAATTATCTTTTATGAACAAAGGTAACATGCTAAAATGTGTAATTATTAGAAACCAAAAAGAAGGAAACGGATCATTTTGAAAATGTAATAACACTGGCACCACAATAAGCAGAATTGATTTTTCATGAACTTGAAATGAAAATAGAAAAAATGCTAATGCACAATTGATGAGAGAAATGATGAATCTCTGTTTTTCTGGATTTAAATATACATTTATACAACTTGGTAGAATTGCGAATGTTGTTATTACCAAACAAATTTTAGCTAATTGTATATTTGTAAACGCAGTATGTAATTTATAAAGAACATTGATGGTACACCAAATATTGGCCACTTTATCCTCAAATACACCTCTGGCAACTGGAAATAATCGAAGAATAACACTAGTAAATGTTTCTAAATTCTTAAGAAATGGTAACCATATAATAATAAATGTAAAAATTACTGTCAATGATACACAGAATAGCATTCTCAAATTAAATAACCAATTTTTATTTCTTAAAGGTGAATATTTTCCAAGAATGTAAAAGAAAATTGGCAATGCATGATACAACTCCATTTGTTTATAATTTAGTGCTGCCACAAATAAAAATGATCCAATAATAAATGAATTTTGAAGTACTGTTGCAACAGCACCGATAAATAGTCCTAGGGATATACAATTGTATTGGAAGTGACCATGATCTATTAATATCAGACCTGGATAAATCAACATTACTAGGATAAGACAATGCTTTGTATTGAAACCAAATAAATTACTTTCTTCTGTTTCTTTTTTTGGTACTTCATTCGTTAATACAAAGTATATTATTGCTGGTAGGTAGAATAAAATGTCTGCAAATAAGGCAGTAAGTCTCATGAAATATTTGTGATCTTCAGAAGAAAACCCTCTTGACTCATGTAATGTCACATATGAAGAATTGATCTTATTAGCAATATAGCCCAATATGAAGCTATGATATGCTGTTAAAGGAGGATAGTCTAATCCCCAATATTGTAAGTTATTGTTTGTAGTATTAATATACCATTTCTCAATGGGCAAATTAAATGTAATCTCTTGCCAATGTCGTTGGGCCTCATAGTCTCCAAACATTGGAGGTTTTTTTTCACCACTATAGGCATAATATGTGACGCACCATCTTAAAAGAAGGGCTAAAAGGGAAATTAACATAATCTGCATTTTCCCTTGCATTTTTTAAGAACATATGTTGACAAGTGTTCCAAGTACTTTATATCCAAATACACCCTTGGTTGGAATTAGTAAATGTATTTCAGAAAGAACTTCTATATAGCAACCTACGTTTATGATAGAGAATTCAAGGTTAGAAGAAATACAACATAAAAAATGTACGAAGTGTGTCTGCAAATGTAATAAAAAATATAGTATACGTACTACGTGTGAAGCGTTCAATCCTTCGATTAATTTATTTTTAATATAACTCTCAGAATATGGCATATTTAATCATTCACTTTTTAAAATCGTAACTTCAGCTTGCCACTCTTTGTATACGTGGACGCTAGTGTAAGTATATACATACATAGTATACTTTAGATCACTGTAAATCACTTTAAATACGTAGTTTTATTGTATCTGTTTTTTATACATGGTATACAAATGAGTAAAATTTGTAGTAAGTTCAAAAGACGCAGCCATGCAAAATATTTTATCTTCACGTTTACATAATTACTTAAAAATTTGAATTATCCTTAAGTGTATAATGTGACCTCAAAGCAATGTTTGAACTCGTGAAATTTGATTATATCGTATTCATCGATTTTTGGATTATCGATTACTTGCGCGATGTCACAATTTCGGAAATTTAATTAAATAACATTTTCATGACTTATTACAATGACCGGTATATTGTTGCACATTGTTCATATTTAATACTAATTATATGAAAAATGTTGATGTTAATAAAACTTGCTTCTAATAGACCTTTTTTGAAATAAAAACAAATTCACAGTATATATTATACATGCATGCATATAAGCACTTGCATTCCAAGATGCACATTTATTTTATCAATATATTTTCCAACAAAACTATAATATCTAAAGATAAAGAACTAAATCGATGTGGATCAGTTATAAAATGAGTGTAAATATTCTTTTCTCAAGCGTTATTTTTATTTTTATTCGATCAATACAGTTGATGTGTCGGTTTAAATAAATGCACATATATATTATTATATGTGTATTGTAAAAGATATACTGCAAAATAGAAGACAAAAAAATATTAATTATAAAACTTTGAGAAGTTTTACACAATGGCAAATATTGCTGGGTCTACCAATGTAATTTTATTTAATGGGATTATTAAAAATATATGAATTATATCTAAAGAAGCAAATTACTATATAAGGTAACTAATATGCAGATTAAATCAGACAAGTTATCAAGTAATTTTGATCAAATTGAGCCAATACTAAATATTAGCTTTTCAAAAGTACGTTCATTTGTTATCACATAGGCACATTCGTTGTTTTTGCATGTGTGTAAAGAATTCTGAAGGTTATATAATACTATAATTAACAACTAATTTATATTAACAGCCGATGTAAAAATATAATTTAGTCTTAAAATATAAATATTATTAAGTAAACATTCTATTTAGGAAACTCGTCTTTTAAATAAATATAACAATAATAACATTGTATTTATAAAAATCTATGCTAAAGAAAATTGATCACATATTTAACAAGCTGTATTATGTACATGTCACATCAATATTGTCCAATACCCGAATTTAGGTATCAACTGGTTGCTATGATATACATAACAGTAATAAATTATCTTCAACAATTGCATTCATATTATATCAGTAGGATATTTCTTGTCAACCTTTAGAAGGGTATTACATGCATAACTTATAAAAAAATTTGTTTCTTAAAGAGATAAGTTAATGAGATTACAAGTTGAAATTGTAATTATGACTATTTCTATTACAATATTGAACAAAAAATACATACACTGTTTTTTTAGCAGTGTAGTAACAGGCTTCATTCTGATTGTTTTAATAATTCTTTCATAGAAAGAAATACGTGAGTGTGTTTTTGAAGAACTTATTGATGAGGTTTCATATTCACAATGAAATACTACTGTGCCTCAAGTATTACACACAGGAGGTTGTGTTATGACAGTAAACTTCATTAAATAAAGCAGTTTCCACTTAATTTTAAATATAATCCATGGTATGATAGCAAATTCTTCAACAGTATAGTTATATGATTTTATAGAAGCACTCCTTTTTTTTTTAAGAATATGTCTAGAATATATGCAGAATGCACCAACATTGAATTAATAGACTCTAAATCTGACAAACATTTTCATGAAACAGTTCTCTGTCTCTTTAAAGAGTCATGATTGAAGTCTACAATATGCATATGTCTTTGGATATGCAGTATTAAATTGTACTTTATCAAGCATATACTAGCTGCAATAGTCCTCACAATTATAGGATAATATGCTTTGAATGCATATTCATTATTTCAGAAATTTTTTCATTTGTTTTGTTTGATGTTGCATACTATATTGAGCATTTTCAGCTTTTGTAATAAGACAATCCAGTTTATCCAAATGAGATCCCATTTTTTCATTGATATCTATTTGTTTTTGTGTTGTTGAGTTCGACTTTATATTTTCTATCGTTTTTTCATCTTTTGATAAATCTACTGTCAATTGTTCTTCATTTATTTCTGTCTCATTGATAATATCCTTCGGCTCATTGCGATTTCCTTCAGTAGTTTTACGATCTGGTGTATTGTTTTTAGATCCCACTTTTACTTTTAGTAAAGTACCCAAACTGCCACAAACAGTCTGCAAAATGTTATAACATTACAAAATAATAGTTTACTTTAACAAATATTTTACTTAGGTATAATTATGTAACTATAATTATTAGGATCATCTTTTGTTTAAATATAATAAAGTAATCATTGAGTAAAATTAACATTTGCAGTCCATTCGTTTAGCATTGATCTTAATTAAATTTAAAGGACGTATAATTGATTATGTAACCTTGAATCTATTAATCTTCTTTTGCGTTGCATTGAGAATGCTGTTTAGTTCATCCAATCCACCACTAACGCGTTGTGCAGCTTCATTTGAGGTATCCAAGTTCTACAAATTACACAAGAATCTATTTTATTTTATGCAAATAATACAATGAAAATATAAATCATACAGTGACTTAGAGATGTATTAGTGACCAATTAAAAAAATCGTTATTCCTATCCCACTGTCATTACTACTTGTGCTTCCAACATTTTTGCCCATCTTATCTCATTAAGACTATATACATATATATGTGTTCGTATGTGTCTCCAACTTGATATTACGCACAGACCATTTATAAAAAATAAAGTGAAATTATTCGTTAATTATTAGGTTTATAGATGTATATAAAGATAATATATATAATAGATAGATAAATATATATAATAGGTAGATATATTTGACCTTCAAATCTTCAAAACACCTCCACTTACAAAAAAAAATATATGCATTACATAATGTATGCGTCGAAACCATGCAACTTTTCTATAAAAAATGTTTTCATACAATGCATACCTTAGAAGTTATATAGGGTGAACAAGTTGCATGGACCACCCTGTATACATGGTATATATATATATATATATATATATATATATATATATACACATAGATGTATATCATCGGAATAAATAAATTGAGGGTAAGGGGACAAAACTAAGTATGTTACAAAATAACTTTATTGAGAAAAGTAAAACAAGAAGGTTCAATGAATTTAGCTATATCGTACATAAAATGAAGATTATACCTTAATTAAGCATCACAAAATGATGATCAATAAAATAATAATTATTTTATAGTAATTTTATTTTTTTCTCAAGTTTAAACACTGTATGGTACTGAAACAAAATGAGAAATTTTCAATTTATTTCCATATTATTATTTAACAACAAAAAAGAAAACCACTTATTTTATGAGATTAATAGTCAGATACTTTGTTCCTTCCTTGCTTATTATATGTACATGTGGGAATGTCTCTTAAAATAGCTGTTTTTTCACAGGAAAAATTTTTTTTTAGTATACAGTGGATATTCCCTGTTTTTAAACAAAACACCAGATCTTTAACTCTATTTTATGGAGAGAGTTTAAATTTTGTAATCTTTATGATTTGATAGTTCTGAAGTCCCAGTTGCCACAAACAAAACGTGCTATAAAATGGACATTCCTCGTTTTTTCCCCTTACCTTTCAAATATGATACATCTCAATGACCAAATTTGTCAGTTTCTGTATAAGTATGTTCCTTTCCAGTAGGCAATAAAGATGATTACCTGAATGATCGTATTGTCATTATCGTCATTAGTACGATTTTTCTCTATCGTCTGTGTCTCTTTCCACTCCTCTTCACTTGGTATTGGCAATCCTAGCAATTCTGCTCTTTCGCACGCGTGAATATAGGCTTGAGACATTATACCGATTGGTAATTAATTACACGATACTAATTAGGATATAAGAATAGAATACGAATCTATCTTATATCATTTTCCATAGATGTTGGAAATTCACGGAACATCAGAGTGTGATAAAGACATGTATCTGCTCGGGGAATTCATGTCAATCCATGTTTCCAGAAATCGTGCGCAAACTCCGATAGGCAGGGGTAGTTACGTGAAAAACCAGTACGATTGTATAACACTTGCTAGAGACCTTACTATTTTGATGAAACTTCACAGGTTTGTGATAGTCTGAAAACCGAAGACATATGGTAAATACATATGCTTGTTTTGGTTGTTGTAAGATAAAAAGAGAAAAACTATTTACACTTAGGGATGAATCGATACAAGTAAATACGAGACGAGTACTGATCTGTATATATGTATTGTAGTGTAGTATATATGAATCAATATGGATACGGAATGGTGTACTTCCCTATGAACACACTAACGTCAGATGCAGTGATGCCAAAATCGTGGAACTTGGTTCCAGTGGAATTCAAATTATGATTTTAAATCATTCAAATATGTCGTTGAATTCGCCGAGTTTTGTTTGAACAACAATTTCGCGGATAACAGTATGAATATTGGTGGCAATTTCATTTCACATCAAGCAATAAGAAAGTACAGTACCAGAATGCTATCATAGGGACCATAATATAGCAATAATAACTTTCTTGTACGTTGAGTAGGAGTTACATAACAATTCGTGACATATTTCAAATTTTTTCTGTAAAATATGTCACGAATTATTACCTTTTTCACATAATACCTTAATACTTTATTACGCAGAATGTTTGGAAGAATTGATTTATAATAACTAATAAAAGTATTTTATTCCATGATATTTCAATATCATTCATAAAAATAACATAATTAACTTTGAAAACTTAGAAGATACTTCACGTACAAAAAACTTGTTACTGCTAAGTAATAGCCCTCTTCATACTGAACAACCTCTATGAATAAACTTTTCTGATATCTCTAAAAATAACGGAGATAATTAATGTAACCGTAAAGTGCGCATATCCAGTGCACCCTAGATATAGCTGCGTGTCAGATGCAGTGATAGTGATGGCAGAATCGTGGGTCGCTTTACCCCCACCACTCCCCCACTCCGACGTACCATCGTCTCCCACTATGACGTCCCGGTTACCCCCACTTTGAATATATAATAGAGTTAGATAAGTAAATATAATAGCAACATAAGTAGTTCATAAGTCTTTGTATTACAATTTAAGATTATTAGCACATAGGATAAATTCTACAATCATTATAACCATAGAGAATAAGAATAAAAAAGTATTGATAAAGGATAAAACGTGAATTATTTCCCCACGATATACACAAACAGGCACAAAAGAACAGAGGAGACAGACCTTGCGCTCTCTAGATTCCCACGGATAATGATATCTAGGGTGAGGATAGGGAATAGATAAAGATATAGGAAGGCGGGCGGGAAGCGTGTCAAAATAGCGTGTAAGATAAGAAAAGAAAAAGAAAAATAATAATAAAAAAAAAAAAAAAAA